GGATCGTACCTGTTCCCAGTTTGGGGGGGACGTACACAGTGAGGGTGGATCGTACCTGTTCCCAGTTTGGGGGGGACGTACACAGTGAGGGTGGATCGTACCTGTTCCCAGTTTGGGGGGGATGTACACAGTGAGGTTGGGGCTCCACTTGCTCCACAGCCTGGCATTGCGAGATTTGCAACGCACCCTCATCACATAACTCCCCACTGGCAGGCCCAGCAGCTCCAGATGAGGCTCACGCAGCCCCCCCTTCACCTGTGGGTGGGGAGGGGTGGAGGGGGGGAACACCAGCAAGCCGGTCAGATAGGTACACCCACACAGACATGCATGAACGGACTACTAGATGGCACGGAACCTTCCAGGTGTCCGGTTCCAACTTGCGGCGGTACTGCAGCTCGTAGACGAGTGTGACCCAGCCCATTTGCACGTCCACAGTCATGGGGTAATGCCAGGACACAGCCACGCCGCAGCCCAGCTCCTCCACACAGCTTCCCTGCTGGTAAGTGAGGTTCAGCGGGGGGTCGGTCTCCACTGGGGGTGGGAACCACAACAAGGGAGGGGGATGGAGAGTGATCGAGCGAGATAGAGAGCGAGCGAGCGAGAGAGCGCAAGAGCAGTAGGGAAAGAAATACAATGCCAGAAGAGGAGTGAGAGAAAGTCAGAGAAGGAGGTAGAGAGAGGCAGAGAGAGATAGAAAGAGGGGAGGAGGGAGAAAGAGAAACAGACAGAGGAGTAGGCAGTGAGAGGCAGAGAGAAAGAGAGAGGGAGAGTGTGTTAGATGGTAGGAATGCTGAATGTCTAGGGAACTCTGAGGAACCGTAGCAAATAAATCCATAAGCTGTTGGCTTTTCGACTTTAACAGAGATGTAAAACAAAGTGATACCAAAGTTAGTCACACAATACAGCATTAAAGGGGCTGAACTAACAACAGCAAGACCTAAAGACATGCAAATCAGCCACCAAAAAAGCTTAATCAAAATAAATCAAAATGGGCCAAGTTCTGCTACTAATACAGAACAATCCCCACTTCAGAATATACCTAGACACTAGTCTCCTCTTATACGGAGATGCGAAAGAAATCTATTCTCAAGGAAGAATCCAAAACATAACTAAACAAACTTATTTTAAACATATAAAACTAAGGAATAAACAGAGACTTTTGTTGTCTTTGTAGTAGATGTGCTGAGTGGCTTTTTCATCAGGCTAAATATTCTTATATTCCCCAAACAGAGCGAGGCTCTCATCTTTGCATCCATCTGAAGTCTCAAACCAGCGGTAAGGGAGGGATTCTGCTCTGTACTCTAGTCTGGTAACTAGAAAGGGCTCAGGTTGGATCGTGGTTATTTACCAATGTCTGCCACGTCCAGACAGTGCTCCTCGGAGGTCAGGCTGCCTCCGCCACCCTGGACTGTAACGGTCATGCAGTAAACCTCCCACACCTGCGTGTGCTGGCTGTCGAAGAAGCAACTGTTGGGGCCGCCTGTGACATAGTCCGGGCACTCGTGCTGGGGCCCCTTCCTGCAGGACAGGAGAGGAGGTGGGGGTGAGCTCAGAGGATCATGAGCAGGCTGGAGTCCGGTTACTGGTAGACGAAGAAGAGGAAGGTCTACAAAAAGTCCCAAGAAATAAATAAAGGAGAACAACAGGTCCGGAAAACTCAAAAATAAAATCATACAAAGTAATAGTAAGTGCACAATCAGTGCTGAGTCTCAGAGTGGTAACACAAGGCTCCTACACTCTAAAAAACGGTTTGAGGGGATTGTAAGTAGCACTTAAAATAAAGATTTTAACATAAAACTTTACGTTTGTTATATCTTCCCATCTTAGTTAGTTAATTTTATAAGTTGGTCAAAATTAAAAATACAAAACATTCTGTGAACTTAGTTATATATGTATTTTGAACAAAGATTTTGCCCTCCCTTAACATCTGAAAAATTTGAAGTTACCGCGGCTTCTGGAAGTGAGATTCATCTGCGCAGAAGTTTGGGGTGCTTTTCTACCGCACCAAGTACCTTACTTTTGAGACGGTACCTTCGGTATTTTCCCTTTTCCATTGACTTTCCCTTTTCCATACAGAATTTAAAGAAAGAAAAAGCCTGATCTTAGTCTAACTGACTAGCGATGTTAGAATTGTTGTAGTATCACACATCGTACTGCCCGATAATATTGTAGCGCTGGCGAGATGTGCTGAGCATGCTGGGACATTTTATATAAGCCCCCTCTTTGATAACATTAATATTTGTTGTATTTCCCAATTGCCGTGTGTGTGTGTTTGCCCATGTCTGATCCTCGCATGACTTTAGCGCTGTATAAATTACCCACCATGTGTGTATTTCACTGTTAGACCTCCCCATGTTTGTGGGCTGTCTTTGGTTTGGGGTCTATTGAGTTTGTGTGTTAGTACTTTTAAGACTTTGGTCTTCGCCACAATAGTTATTCAGTGTCCTTGTCTGCTTTTATGAGCATAGAAAACCAACACTTTTGTGGTACTAAAAGTACATTACTTGATATGGTGGGAAACGACCGTAAGATGGAAATAAAATAAAGTGGGAAAAACAGAGAAGTTCAAATAATCAAGACATTATATTCATTCAAAAGTTGTAGTGAAATAAGTTATTTTAACTTAATTACATTTGTAGAAGTAAAGGCAAATCGTTTTGGCTGTACTTAAATATTTAATATAGTCTAACTTTAAAATACTCATTTAGTTTACTCAATAATTGAAACTGGAAAAACTAAAAAAAAAAAAAAACTGTGTGAGATCTTTACCCAGCCAGAGTAACGTTTGTGAGGTCTTCACCAAACGAGAGTAACCTTTGTGAGGTCTTAACCCAGCCAGAGTTACCTTTGTGAGGTCTTCACCAAACGAGAGTAACCTTTGTGAGGTCTTAACCCAGCCAGAGTAACCTTTGTGAGGTCTTAACCCAGCCAGAGTAACCTTTGTGAGGTCTTAACCCAGCCAGAATAACCTTTGTGAGGTCTTAACCCAGCCAGAGTAACCCTTGTGAGGTTTTCATCTCTGCCCCATTTTCCCTTAGATGCCTTACCCCACAGTGTAGGTCAATGTGAAATTGACATTGCCATCGTTCTGTGAAGTGTTGTCAGGGAGATGCCACCAGCAAGTGAAGGTCTCCATGTTGGGTGAGCGGCAGTAATGGATGTGGGGTCTGTTGCGGAGCGAAGACACATCTGTAGAAATGATCAATAAATTATTAATTTAACAGGTCAATTTATCTGTCAGTCAATCAACAGCTACCTATCACAGCATTCATCCGCGACTAAGGCTGTGTTACCATGCAGAGAACAATAAAAGAATCAAAGAAAACCATGTTAAGCCAGGTAGTTATTCTGAAGCCTTGTTTCTCCCGTTACTAATATAATAATTCAGCTGTGTGATGCCGTCTCAGATGTTTTACTCTTTATATATTTTACCAAAGACTTTGGAGGGCGGGCAGGGCACCAAGGGCTGTAATGCAGCCTAATGAGGAAAACATTGCATGAATGTCTGGTGGTTTCCTCAATAGCTGGATTATGCATTCCTGCTAAAAAACAGCCAATCCAGTGCCAGTTTACAGGTGACAAGGAGAAATTAAACATCCATTACAAACATGCACAAACATAGTTGGGTAATTCAGGTCCAGAGAGTAAAAGTCCAGACCGAGATTTTGTTTCAACCAACCAGTTGAGTACTCTGTAACTGTTACTCTTTATGCTCAACAGGTTGGTTGAAACAAAATCCCAGTCTGGACTTTTACTCTCTGGACCTGAATTAACTAACTCTGCAAACAAAACATACAAATCTGTGTTGTTAATCTATACAGTACAGGGCTTTGTGGAGATTTGCTGCTAACAGAGACCATGAACAGATTTGTTTCAAAGTGCAGCAACTTGACTGTCAAGTGCGTCAAGTAAATTCCTGTTTCTGATTTGGAGGAAAAGAACATAGCACGCTTCTCTTTCACCTTTTAACTCTGTAGAATCACAGAAGAACCATCACTGACTAATATAATGTTAAACTCTCCGAAATGTGATACATATTTATGTGAAACGCTGTTCCAACATGTCTAATGATGCATCTGTATTTAATAAATCTCTGCCCAGCAATGTAAATTAAAGTCAGAGCATTGAAATTCCTTTTATATTAATTGCAGACCTGCAAATTTAATTTTATGTTAATACTTAATTGCTCAACCAATTCTAGTCAGAAATCTGTCAACCGAAGGTCATCCGATTAATTTAATAACGCTTTGCGGTTGATTTACTATGTGATGCATTAGGTGTGATTAATGATGTCATGGGTGAGACTTAGAAAACTGCAGTGAGTGGAATTTAGCACATGCTGTCAATCATTGCCTGGTTTAGCCCAATGAGAAATGGATTAAAGCCGACATTGATTGACAAGGAGCATGATAATCGCATAAGCTGCAGGTCTGTAAGCCTCTTTCCTCCTTTCACTGTCAGTGGAGTTTCATTACTGGAAGTAGATCGGCGACACATTCCAGCAGAATGCACGCTCCCCAGAAAGGTCCTGGGTTCAGGGTCCGCAGTTCAGATCCTGGAGATACCTGACCCACAACACCTGACCCTTCAGCACCTGGACAGCTCAAACAAACCTAATGCTTTCACATCCATCTCTGCATCCACCACTGGATTCAAATCAAGCTTGAATCCAGGCTAGCATTATGTGCTGTTATTATAATTACCGCTTCCTCAACTTTTCATATTTGCCATATATTATTTCATATTTTCTCAGCAGGGATTCTGACTGGGATCATAATTGCAATTACTCCTCCTAGCCTGTGGCGGAGCAGAGATCACGGAGCCCACTACATTACTCCATGAAGCTCACACAGGTGGCTCCAATCTCAGGAATAACAAGATAACAAGAGCCAGCTGTGCTGGAGAGAGGAAAGGGAGTAGTGTCTGTGTTGTGTGGAAAGACATCCAGCAGCCTTGATGCCAGTGATGATTTTAGCCTCTATTTTTAAATAATTTGAACTGATGAGGGAAGATGAAGCTGCAATTTAGCTTTTTTTTGCAAAACAGAAATATTTCACTGGGCTGTTTCAGCCATTTAGGAGGTTGGGAAAAAAACCGGAAAGTTACAAAATCACGAGACTACTTTCGACAAGTGTGTGCAGATTATAACGCAAAACAACAAGGAGGCTTTTCACAGCATGGTTACAAGTCCTGTTTTATCTTTTCTCTATAAAATCCTTCAGATGCAAGCTGGGAGTATAACTAATTGGTGTTGCTGGTGCCTCAGGTCCATTATTATTCATAGTTTAAGTAGATGCTTCTATCCAAGGATAACAGGATCAGCAACTTGGGGTTGGGGCCTTGTTTAGGGGCCCAATGGTGACTGTGAAAAGGGTACTTTTTTTTCCTTTTCACTGGATTCAATTCCCTTATTTATATGGTTTGTTTATGAAATATAATTGTTTTGTATTTTCTTTATCTAGGGGAGTTTGCTGTGTATGTGGTGGTTGGTTGTGCTGCTGCTGGGAAGGCAGGGAAGTCAGCTGCTCATTAGGGAGAGTGAAGACAGGTTTGGGTGCTGCTTACTGGAGTTATACTAGGGGGGGGGGAAGAATATCAAAGATTACCAGTTAGTAATTATGTAGCCCTTATGAG